AAACGATATTGAACATTTCAAGGTGAAGAATGTTTTTGTGAACGTGTATTAAACGGGTTATATCATATCAGTTTCATTCTTGAAACATTCTTGGTATGGCCATGGTTTGACATAGTGTATTAGATAAAGTTCTTAATGATAATAGAAAGAGCAATTATAGAGGAATTCCTAATGCCTAGAGCATAATCGAACCCTTTTTCCTTGCACAGGTCATGATTAATATACAAAGCCAACTGCTGACCTAATAACTGTAGAGACACCTTATAAGATGAAGTATAAAATTTATTAATGTTGAAGATACGTAACATGCTACAATAAACATAGGTGTTCTTATCTGAAGATAACGGTTGATAATAAAAACCGGCTAATGATTAAGGCTATCAACAGCGGAAACTGAAAAACATTATCGGGTCACTTTTACACCTTCGAAATGTAAACTAACAATTATCTTTACCATTCAGAGGGTTCATTAGTGGCTACACTACTCCACAATATTCACTACGTCCTACGAATCTGTCTATCCAGCTACAATGTATAATTACGTAAGAGGTGAGATGTACGGACAATTTACAATTCATCAAATTTGAAGGAACCATGATTATGATCAATTAAAAATTAATTATATTTTATAATTCTCATACGTCTCATATTTCAATTGACCTATTTTTATAATACGACGTTTTCAACCGCAGCTGCGTCGTGTCATGCGACATCTAACAGCTGCCTTTTATACAAATTATATACAAATCAATTTATCTTAGAAGTTAACACAATATATGCATACAAATTATATTGAGATAAAAAATAATCTAAATCGACAAAAGATCAAACTAACAAAATGAGAAAAAAAACAATAAAATCCATCACATCTATCGATTATAAATTTAAATAATAAAGGTTAATGTTGTGATGTCGTGACCATATATGGACTATAAATAAATTATCTAAAATACATCTCGGTAGTCTTGATAAAAATTGTAAATACAACAAAAAATAAAATATTACACTCGTTCAAATCATTATTACAAAAAATAGAATCTTAAGAAAATATACGTAAAGATTATATATTCTCTTAACTTATTATGCACACTGACTTTAATAATTCAAAATATACATCGGATATAAATATTTAATTCGCTAATTAAATAAAAGGTTCAGTTAATTTACACATCTTTGAATACAAAATTTAAGTAGAGTAGTATAAAATCGATTCACATGTAGTTCATTATCATTAATATATCGAACAAATCTTATCTATATTATTCTAGCTGCACTGATGGTAGCAGACAATGTCTTATACAAATACGAAACATTATGGAGCCCAATGTAATATTGAACATTAAACTTTATAATATATTACATTTAACACGAGATAATTCAGGGCTCAAAGTAAACAAATTAATCTATGACTGCTCATTGAAATTTATTTTATATTGAATGTGTAGTGGTAGATTTGAACAAAATACTTACGTAGATTATTGCACAACTCTGCTAATGATTTGGAGAATATATAAACTGTATATTATATACTTATTATTATAACTCAAAAAACCGTAGTATACGCTAAGTATATGAAAGTAAACAATTCTGAGATATTATGGAGCGTTATATATAACTAATAGTGATGACAGATAGCCAAGTATTTCGGTAACGGTATGTACCACGGTACGTCCGATTGATTTCACCATACCAAAACAGATTAGAGGGAGCCAAACGAGGCAAAAGAAATAGGGGATCGGATAGCAATCAGATAAATATTTAAATGGTTAAAAAATTCATAAGGATAAAAATCATTCGTCGAACATTGTTGCTACATAACAATGATTCTTATTTTTAAATCAATAAACTAAAATATGTTATCTACATTTGTAGTCTGTATCTCACCTCAAATGAAATACCAATCAGATCGTGTTACGTCATTCGTAGGTAGATTGGTAGTAAAACCATCTGGGAAAGGCGCGAGAAACATTATAAGTGTAAAATAATTTTAACAATTTACTGAATTTTTAACAGGTTATAAGTATTTTTGTGATTTATTTATTTATGACTTTGAATATAAAAATAGCATACGAAAATTATTATTTTTTCACTAAAACATATCGTTTATACAAGTTGTTAAACAAATTAATTTCAAGTTTAGTTTTGGATATATAATATTAAAATAAAATTATCTTTTTCTTCAGAATAAGCTTCCATATTAAATAATTTAGGACAGCTGTCCGATACCCTATTCTTTTCATTCACCTTCTTCGGCTCGTATTAATCTGCTCTCAGCTTAGTCAGTGCTGGTTAGTAATTATGAAAGGATTGTTATAGCGTTAGTTGAACAGTACAGAGTTGGGGTCCTCGTTGTCCATTTGCTTCACGTGCCGCAGCACGTCTTTCTTAGTGATCACACCGAGAAGTCGTCTGAAATTATCCCCAGGACCATATTAATATCCAAAACATGTGCTGTAGACTAAATTAAGTGTTGAGAAAACAATACTCAAACTGAAATAAATGTTAACAAAGTAAAAATAATTATACATCATTGCTTCAGTGGACCTTATAAATAAAAATTTTAAAATAGTATTTTGTTTTCTATCGTTTATAATTAATCTTTACTTTCTTTTGTTTTTCATTAATTTTCAGTACTGTTTACTGTAAAATCACATGTTGTTGTAACTTATTTAGTAATTCTTATCGAAAAAAATCCTCGCAGCAATACATTTTGTTTATTGAAATAAATACGTAATGTTAGTTATGCCTCTAAAAGTTTAAAACAATCAACATCTTACTGTAATCCAAAAAGAACCTGTAAAGCAACCTTTCTCAAAGTATCGACAAAAGTAAAATATGTTTGTAATTCATCATAAGTACACAGTGTAATGAGTAACACTGTGGCATAGTGGATAAGAGCGGCGGCCCGCAATCGTTGTTGCTAAGCGACTTACGCAAAGGAGTCACGGGACAGGAGACCAACAAATTATTATCTCTAGCTAATCCGTGCTTCAAAAGGCACGTTAAGCTTTGTTCCCACCTGTATTTGTAGTGTTAATACCCTCCAATACATATTGGGTTAGCGTGGAGGGTTACGGCCCCTCCTCTTTAACCATCCATAAGGACGTTAAGGGTGGATGATGTATACAGTGCAAATACAGTTAGGTTCTGGTAAAGGATCCAAAACCCGCCTGGACCAGTTTTTTTTTATTAAATGTGCTCACCCATTATGCGTGACGAGTGTCTGACGTAGACCCAACTTGCGGAACATGTCGACGACCGTCTCCATGGGCGTCTGATCGGTGACTGTAATCGGCGCCATGTCTAATATGCGACCGAGCAGCAGGAACCCAGCCCCCGCCCCCGCACCTGATCCCGCCCCCGCCCCCGCACCTGCGCCCGCCCCCGCGAACACAACCACTGACTGCCCGGTGATACCGTCCAACGTACGACGCGCGTTCGCTTTAAAGTTCAAAATGACGTTTGTTAATTTCTCTAACGCCGTTAATAGACCTATGCAATCGCAAGCGAATGTGAAACATTTGCGAATTCTTATCAGTTGTATGGCAATGTTTCGCATGTGCTTTGTCTCGCTCTATTATTAACTCGATGATATAGTTGCATCCTTATCATTACGGTTTCGCTGTCAACTGCGAAATTAAATGTATTGGATTATAATATCCAGACGGCATGGCCATTGACAAAAAATAACATAGGTACGGTTGCTTGGTGATCCAGCTCTCAAAGATCCGCCACTGTGGTAATTAATACCTAAGCAAGGGTGCGACGCTACTAAATTTGACAGCTATTTAAGACGTTGATAAGATGCGTTTTAACTTTAATGACGTTATGAATTGCTTAGCAGTGTCTTAATTTTAATCAACGTTTATAAGTAAGGCTGAATACTTTTAATGTGTATTAACTTTGTTTAGATACCAATCAGTATTAAAAAAAACGGGCACGTGCGAGTCGAACTCGCGCACTGAGGGTTCCTTAGAAATTACATTGGAATTTCTTTAGAACTTATATACTTTGTATTTGTTGTGTTTTCAGTGGTTGTATGAATGACAAAGTAATATTTGTTAATGTGCTATATCTCAGGAAGTGGCTATATCCCTATCAAACAAGTTTTCGTTGATGATTTTCATTGGGGTCTAAAGCATATTTTTACGTATCCACTCTTTAATTTTAAAATGTGAGGAAAGAGGGCTGCTCTCAAATATTGTCTCTTTGAAAGTGAAGATGCCATAGGTAAAGGGTTCGACCGTTAGCGGTTTTTGTATTAGCTGTTGTCTTTCATAATGGCATATGTACATTGGTCGTTAGGGGCCCGCATGCAGAGAGCGAGTGATTCCTACGGTCTCACATAAATTAACCAATGTAAATAAGTTTGCACTACTCAGGAAACCAGTGACAATCAATGACCGTCTAATGAAAATAAGCACAGAAATCGTCCGCACTTCCCATGTGGGCCTTTTACCAATGACAACGAGTCTTTTGCCTGCATAAAATAATCTTTACACGAATATTTAAAAGTTTTAGTTCGCAACATGTTTTTTTAGAGTTCAAATGGAAAAATTTGAACTCTTATAGATTCGTCATATCTGTCTGTCTGTGCGCCACTTTATTTCGAATGTATTCACTGGTGGGTACCTTTTTATATCTATTTTGTGGTCAGGACCTACATGTTGAGACTATAAGTAGTTACATTATGTTAAAGGCATAAAGATTTTTTCTATCCCTTATTTAAAAATATTTTATTAGAGTTTTTATTGTTGTACTTTGATCAGATTGAAATATTTGAAACACAATTGACTGAACTAGAAACCTAGTTTGCTACAGAAATTGATAAAATAAAATTAATAAACGAAATCTTCAACAAGCTTATATGTTAAGCTCATGAATTCCGACCGAACATCCCATTGTAGGTTCACCTCCCTGCTTTTTTAAAAACTACCAGTATAAAAAGCAACTTAATTTGACTAAAAATTAACCTCGTAGAACAATTTAACGAATCACAACTATCATAAAATTATGAAAAAATAAACACTAGACAATATACATTGTTACAAGAAACTGTTGTAGTATGTGGATATAATTAAATTATATTACCTATAGCGAGATTCAGGTCTCGTCGCAGAACAAAACCGACCAAATACTGCGACTCTTTGGAAACAACTACCGGATATCCATTGTGTTCAGTCTCTTTCAACAGCGTCTCCACGTCATCCACAGTCATGGAGTCCTGCGTGATCACCGCCAGGGTTTCGTTTCGTCTACGAAAAATCAAAAATATTCAAATTTACTACCCAGTATTAATGAAATAAAGCATCAATCAGATTTTGATTCTCACGGAGCAATGAGGAAGTATTTAAAAAAAATAGTTCTCGAAATTAAACTAGATGTCGCTGCGATACTTTCTTGATTTCTCTATGACAACTCTTCTGGTTTTCTTTCATGTATAAAAGTAAATTAATTTTCAAAACTCAATAAACAACTCATATTCTATTGATATTTTTCGTATTTGTATTGATATCTAAGTTCCGAAATTTGAAAATTTCAGTTTTTTAATATGTTAGTTAAAAGGATCGGAAATTACTATCTTTGGTCCATTCGTTTCCTGCAAAAATCATCTTTTGGTAGAGTCGCCAACTAGTGGAGGTGCTTGCTTTCTTTTTATTTTTAAATACTTTCTCATTGGAAATCTAATCGACAGATAGTTTTTACAAAAATCTCATTACAACATTACGTAGCGCATTGAAATGTTTGAATATCTCGTGAGAAAAATAATGTTAACATGTTATTGAGCTTTTGAATTTTTCATCGTCCCAGCACACAAACTCTTATAATTTTGTCTTACTTTTTTATCTTATAGATTTAATGTGAACAGTCTCAAAGTGCAAGGATATAATTGCATTGGTTAATAATAATATTAGCTTATTAAAGATCCATTAGTATTTTAAAAATAGATAAATAACAAATAAAAATAAATGAGAATATTAATATATTAATACGTCATATTAAAAAAAAACAAAATTTAGTTGCATTTCGCTTAGCATTTTCGCATTGCATTTTTATACAAATCAAATCACAAAATTGCTATTTAAGTAAATATTCCGATCGCAAAAAAAATGTAGCGAATCGTATTCATATAAATGGAAACAAAAATTCGCTTTAAATTATGCAGATTTGTATCTTAAACCAACGCTAAAAAGATTTTATTATGAATTTCAATAAAATATATAGTTGAATTTGCCTAAGAACCAAAGTATACAAGTTTTATTATATGGTACCTGTGAAACAGTATCTTACATAATATTAACCCCTCATTTGAACAAGAAAAATATTTAATTTTTTGAAACTGAAAATGTGCACTACAACTTTTTGTTTGTCTAACTTAGGACCTTATAAAAACTTCGGCATTCAAAAAAACAATAAAAAATTCGATAACTCATTCGCTATTGTTCAGATTGCAATTACAAAGCTCAATCAACCTTCGCAAAACCCGCTCATTTCATGAAATTTATTGTATCACAGATATTAAACGCCCATTTCAAATCCCAAGTTCTATTTATGTATTTACAAAACGGATAGACATCATTATTCATGACAAAAGCACCTTAATAATAATAACATTATAAAATAGTATTCGCTAATAAACGCATTGTTTACAAATCGCACAGCAAAATTATTTATCTACTGCATGAGTATAAGAAATTTTATCAGCTCTTAACAGTATAAAAAGACATTTAAATTAACATAAAAAAACTATTAAGTCCGTGCATCATAATCATCAATGCTAGGGCTCACGCCTTCCTATGAATGGAATCAAATATGGAGAATGGACCACAGCCCACCGTGCAGGTCCTATTAAGATCAGTGCATACTAACGACTAAAGATATAACCAGAACCAACAGCCTTACATGTTTTCTTACGCACCGAGCAGCTCGAGCTTATAAATCTTATGACTGGCTCATCGCAGACCGAAAATATTTTTTTTATTAAATAAAATACAAATTCAATACCTATCTTAAATCAAAGACATAATCTCATATCATTTATTACACCACCAACCGGAACATTCGCAAATGCATCATTTATTTATGAACACTAGATTTGATTTTCTGACCATGTATAATAATTGCTTTTTCAAACATTTTTATACACTATTACTATTTCATATTTTATGATTCATATCTCAAATACTTCATTTCTCTATTAAAGATGAGTAAAGATGTCAAAAGTTAATGTAAATATTGTTAGTGCTACAAAAATGTTATAGTTTCATGCACCCAATTCACTAAAATTCTGAATGAAATAGATATAAAAGTAGTCAGAAGAAATATGTTAATGCTACTAAATTCACTAAAGGCGTCTTAAACTTTGAATTCGCATATTGTTAATGACCGTTTAGTGTTTGAAAAACTCAATTTGTTACTTTTTTTTTGCTACTATATAGGTTAAAATGCATTTTAATGCACCATAACATAAACCCAGATAAGGACATTCCAACAACAATCTTAAATGAAATATTTCTTTTTATTAGAAATGTGATTTCATGTAAGTGAAAAAATTGTGAGAAATGAATACTGCAAATACAAATTTTCATTGTATAATATGTACGCAAAATTCTCGTTTACTGTTTTAGTCTTTAGTCTCCGAGAAATCTTAAATGATTTTGATGAAATTTTAAATGTATCATACAATAAGTCTGAAAATAGGTTGTTATCTATTTTATAGCCATAAGTGATAAAAGTTGTCCACCCCAAATTTATATGGCAAAAAAAACATTTGCCGGGTCAGCTAGTAGGTATATAATTTTATTATCTCTGAAATTTAAATTCAAATTAAATATGTGGAAGTAATGATTTGTCTTTTATACTCACTTGGGTTGCATCACGTCTGCAGCAAGTGAGGTATGCTGGAACTCATCCTTGCTATCGAGGAACGGATATCCATTTAGTGCTATATGCGCATCGTATATGCCCTGTCTGCCGAGGGCGTCACCCACCCACTTGCTGGCCATAGCTGCCGCCATCAATGGCACTATATATCTGACCCCACCGGTCAGCTCGAACATTATCACCACCAGTGAAACTGCGCCAAAACCATACATTATTAGGAGCCATTAATAACGTAAAAGGGTTTTTGTTAGGTTACGGCCTCTTTCAATCGTTAATACAAAAAAAAATTTGAATAAACAAATATATTTTTAAATTAACTACGTGGCTGTTTTCGAAAAAGTATTTTAAACTTTCATATGATCATATTAAACCACTATCGGGTTTATTTTTCTCAAAATAGTGTTGTTAAATAAAGGTAAATCATATTATCAATTGGTCACGTGGAATTTCGAGCTATTATGTAACATTTTAATTAACTTGAGTACTAGTTTTACTCGCAAAAAAGACGACAAATTTATCGAAATGTGACGTTACAAGATCCTCCATCATGGTTCTTGTAATCCATAGATTAAATTTCAAAAATAAAATACACTTACCATTTATTGTAAACCAAAAAAATTGCATAGTTACTATTTACGAGTAAGTTATCATATCAAACATATTTCATAATTGTCAAGTAGCAAATTTTTTTTTTTTCAATTAATGTTGTAATGTTTCATTCACCCGTCATTCTGGTGACACCGCCCAGTACCGCCGCTGCTCCCACCATCGCGTACAGTCCGGGAGTGATGCAGTCCACCCCCGTCTGACACTCGCCCGAGAACAGCCATATCTTTGAGTAATGGAACGCTAATTGCTCCACACCTGCGTACAACACCAACAATTGTTCAAATCTCAAATATCGATACTAACGTCATAAATGTGATGAACGTAAATCGTGTTACTCTCTTTCACGTCGAAACAAATATAGTTTACTAGCAAAGGATTGCCAAATTTGATTAAAATTTTAAAGAGCATTTTGTACGTGAATAAATTAATTTTAGATATACTGTTTTAATGTAGATTTAGAGCTGAAAATCCAAACATTGACTTTGCGTGCGTACATGAAAAACAACATTTCCGTAAAATTATCTATAAGACGGTATTTCTTTGTAAGAATCCAATGAAAGATAGTGATATTTATTGTACACTCCTTCTTAATTCACCGATCACAAAACATCTAAATAACATATAATAATATCATAAAAGATAAAAACTTAAGTCATAACAAAACACTTCATGAATGAAAAATGGATATAGCATAAACGAGACAGCGACTCAAACCTGCTGTGCTAAAATAGAACAAAACAGTTGAAATACAGACTCAAGACAGTGATGAACTTACCTATGCCAACAATCCGTCCTGCAATGGCTCCCAGAGCCAGACTCGGTATGAATAGACCGCATGGCACCTTGATGCCAAAAGTGAACACCGTCATCACCAACTTGAGCAGTAACGCAAGGAACAACAGTCCAATGGCATTGTACACACCGGGCCGGGCAGCTGCCTTCTCGATTGCAGAATTCACGTCAGTAAAGTTGCGGTCATAATCACTGCGATAATGTATAAATGTATATTATTTTTAAATTCACTAAAGAAGTAAAGGAGCTGTGAAATTTTTGGCTGCCTTATCACACCATTCTCATGTCATTCAAGTTACTGAAGTTTGATAATACACAGGCACTGAAATTTCCTAAGCAAATGTATTTCTAATTATCACATATAAAATACTTATAATATTAAAATATCTGAATTTGTATGTATTTCTCTAGTACTTTATTTTAGCTGCTAGTGAATCTAATTTCATGTATCTTTCTATATAATACGAGTATTTATTCTGAAAAATTGAAAATAAAATACGTTTATCCTCTTTGTATTAAAAATAATACTTACCACAGGGGATCCGAATTGGAGATGCCGCACTGGTTGAACAGCAGGTAGATGAGTTGACTTGTATTCATTCGGGTGTACGGATTTGGGTACGAGAGTACTGCCGTCACTAAAGTCACCACCAGTACTTCGGTCACAGGGTACTGACCGAGCTTTGAATACTTGCGGTAGCGGCACCACCAGATATTAGCTTTTATGAAGATCGTCGCTATACAACCCTAAGAAAATTACTTTATATACTAACGAATATGGAACAGTAATATATATATTTCAAATTGCCCATGTCCCGATTTATTTGGGATCAGCGCAATAAGTATTCTTCTATATCTGCCGTCATTTCAACATACGTTCCTTTCTTACGCATAGCATCTTGTACACAGTCTATCCATCTATTCTTCTTAACCATACTGGAAAATAATTATCTCTAACAACCCCGTTTCATTGAATATTAGAACATCACTGCATATTATAATAAAAAAAAATACTACAACATCTGCCTTAACATTTGAACACAATAAAATGAAAATTTATCTAAGGGACTCTTTATGGTTTTGCATCAATGAAAAAAGCACCTTATTCACGAACTGACCGATGTATTAAAAAACATACAGACTGAGTAGATTGTAAACAATTATCTACAACAGATACGTCTTATATCTCAAGAAAACACCAAGTCGTGAATTATTGCAGAATAACTATATTGATGATTTTAACCACTTTTTCACCTACATTGAGAATCATAAAATCTTGACAATATCATGAAGTCTAATATACAAGAATATACCACTTACACCAATTATCCCTAGCCCCACGAAGGGTATGAGCTCGAAGAAGATCCATGGCTTGTTATACTCTACAAAGAAGAGCACAGAATGCTCGTTTCCAAATGGATTGATCGAGCGCAGTATAAACGCCGCAATCAGAGCGCAGAAGAATGATCGCCACAAAGTCTTTAGCGGGAAGTAGTAAGAGACCTGCAGACATATTACAACTCTACAATGTTCTTATTAAATAAATGGGTACACATTAATAAGAAAATCACACACAGACGCACACAAGTCTTTTTGATAACACACAGAGTTACTCTCTAATTGATGTCTAATTATTCCCATACAGGGAAAATTTCATATTATTGGTTTGTTAAAATTGAATGTATACAGGAAAAATATGTAATCAGTGCAAAAAATGAAATATCCATTCACGTTAATTTTCTCTTTTTTAACATTCGAGATATTAACGGTGAGTTGCACAAATGTCAATTAAGGTTTAATGACGCCTTAAAGCTCTAATGAATGTCAAATATGTATGGGTAAAATCGCTTTAAACTAATGAAAATTTTAATGGACTTTTGTGCAACTGGCTGTAAATGTATGTTTATGGTATACCTACCGTATATGGCAAATTTTCGTAAATAATTTCTATTAATATATAATAACTTCGAGTAGCTCGGTGGCGTAATGGACAAACGCCGCGGCCCACGATCATTGTTATTAAGCAACTTTCGCAAGGGTCGGTCACGAGATGGGTGTCCAAAAAAATTATTATCTCGAGCTACTCCGTGTTAAGCCGTTGGTCCCGGCTGCATTTGCAGTCATGGCCCATCCTCCTTAACCAGCCATAAGGAAAGCCTGAGCCCCTGCAGTGTGGACGTAAAATAATGATGATTGACAGAGCAGCTGTGACCGACGGAGTAATAGACAGACAACCGAGTGATCTTATAAGATTTCCGTTTCCGTTTGTGTGGAACCCTAAAAAATCTTATGTCAATCGGTACCTCCTCTAAACTGAACAGTACTCCTCCAATGGGAGCTCCAAAAGCGACTGATACTCCGGCTGCCGCTGCCGCAGATAGGATTTCGCGCTTCTTCGCTTCGTTACGTCCGTACTTCGGGAACAGGTACGATAGAATGTTGCCTGCACAAAAATAACACGCGCTGTCCATATTGGGGGAGAAATTCATCCGTAACACTCTAGTTTATCCGTATATGGACAGAAAAGATCTTACATAAAAACAGTTAATCACTTAATTGTAAATACCTATAAAAATGTAGTAACAAAGTATGTAGTTAAAATTAAAAATGTATTATTATATAGATCTTACGACATACGTACAATAATTTAAAACTCCAAACCAATTGAAATAAATGAATTTGAATTTGTATTCAATATTAAAACTGACCCAATGAAAAACAACATACCTAAGCAACTAGCTATATGAACCATAGGCCCCTCTTTCCCTAGAGACAGGCCTGATGATACAGATAGGATCAACCCTACGACCTTGATGATGAGCGTCCACTTGCCCAGGTAACCTCTAATGATGAAACCGCTCAGGATAGTCTTGATCTCCGGAATACCTGTTATCATAATCACATCAAGATTCACAGTCAATTAAAAAAAGGTGTGTGTATATAATATATTTACCAATTCATATTTTTAACGCAACTTTAAATTTGGACCGAAGGAAAAGATCACGGAATTTTTCATTACTTATTCTGTGACGAATTCGGAGAATACTCTTTATTTAAATGATATTTTGTAGCGAATGACAGCACCATCTATACTGACTTATGGGGATATTAAGTTCAATATTGTTTATTGCGTCCCTTTAAGAAAGTACGTGATGTTTTGACAATTCAAAGAAAGTTTTATTATATCATTTTTTTTTTATTCAAATCTTTCTGTTATTTAAAAAACAAGCTCGCTTTTTAGGGTACAAGTCCTATGTTTCGAAAGACAAAGTACATTCAGACTAAGAAAAATTATTTATAATCACACGAAAATTGTCCTTTGTGGGGATCGAACTACAATACTCGATCCGTAGGCAGTCGCATGGCGACAACTAAAGCACTCGACCAACCGTGCAGTCAAAATCTAACCTGTATAATGCAAAATAATGAAGATAGTTTTTGCTGAAAAATTATTTAAGTTAATGTATATAATGTACAGTATAATTATATAAAATACCTATGAAATAAATAAGAGGACAGCAAAATGCACCCACGCTACGCCACTGATTTCATAGCTAATGCTTAATATTGCAACCTATTTCATTCTACATAGGCGGATCAATTTCCTTCTTACCAATTATAATCTCAAACAAGAATACTCTAATTAAATTCTAACTTATACAAAAAGTCCCACTGTTACGACATCGCACCTACGTTGCTAAGGTGCTAAAGCCCTCACTAGAATTTCTAGACTTGATACTGAGTTTTTACCTCTAATGGCCTAAATTGTATATTAAAATCTCATGGACTCAATGACTTTCTAGTAAAAATAAATGGTCAATAAAGCTGATAAAAGTACCGATAACAGTGTTTACATATCACAGTAGTCTGTGATATGTAAACACTGTTACATTAAAATCAAACTTATTCAAACAGGTTACTCTAATATTGAAATTAATTACACCGGCCAACAAAAAAAAATCTGTTTCTGTTATTTAATGAATATTTTCTGCTTTTCTATTTCGAAAAATATTAAAAACTAAAAGTTTTTAACAATAATAAAAGTTTGCTTTTGTACATTATACAACAACAAAAAATGATATTTTGGCAGAATTTGCCAGAAAGGCTTGTTCGATTGGTAACTCATTTATTCCCTCTGAATGGCATTTTTTTTATCGATAGCTCTACAAGAAGCTTAAAAGTAGTTCTTCTTCATAATGGAAATATATTTTCATCTCTTCCTCTGGCTGATTCTGTTATATTGAAAGAAATTCGAAAGCGTTAAAATGGTGCTTCAAACTTTAAAGTATGAAAAGTATGCTTGGGCAATGATAGGGGATTTGGTTGATTTCCTGGTGGGAATGCAAGGCGGATACACAAAATATCCGTGTTACTTATGCTTATGGGATAGTAGAGCCGATGCACTTCACTACCAACAGCACTCATGACCCTCACGAACCAAGTTTCAAAAAGGAAAACATAGAGTAAGAAGTAAACCAATTGTTAAGCCCGAACATATTTTAATGCTTCCACTACACATAAAATTAGGTCTCATGAAACAGTTTGAGAAGGCTCTTCGTCAAGACTCTGAAGCTTTTCAATATTTAAAATCATTTTTTCTGAAGTTGTCAGAGGCTAAAATTAAAGATGGTATTTTCGACGATCCACAAATAAAGGAAATAATGGTCAGTGAACAATTTGTACAGTTGCTGATTTCTGAAGTTGCTGAACACGAAAAACAGGCGTGGCTTAGCCTTAATGCAGTGGTTGATGGATTTCTTGGCAATAGAAGGGCTGACAATTATAAAGAGCTTATTTCTGATATGCTTCACAGCTTCATACTCATGGATTGCCGAATGTCCCTTAAAATACATGCTCACTTGGATAAATATAAAAATAACTTGGGGCATATTCAGAAGAACAAGGGGAACGTTTTCATTGAGATATAACGAACTTTGAACAAAGGTATTAAGGTCTATATTTGGGGGCTGATATGAGAAAGTTCTAGCTTACACAAAAGAAATGCCAAAAATGTTCACTTTTAAAACATTTTTGTATATATTTCTGTATTTCTGAGCTGTATAAATATCGACTGTTTAAATAAAAGTTGATAAAAACAATTTTTAAATTTGTTATTTTATATTTTAAAAATAGACAATCGGGTAAATAGAAAGATTTTCCTTAGATTTTTCTTAAAAAATATTTTGTTCTCATACCTGCTTCACTCAGTACTTATAAAATATCAACTTATATAACTTATATATTCTCTTGTGAATTGAATTAAATAATCACAAATGTGCAGTTACACATTTGTTTGTTTACTGTTTGAATACAACAAATCGACTAGTTATAGATTATCTTAGTTGTATAAGCATCTTACGGCCAGTTTGTCAAAAGTCCATTAAAATTGTTATTACTTTAAAGCGTATTTACCAATAGAAATTCCACATTAATTAGAGCTTAAAGGCGTCAATAAACCTTAATGGACGTTTGTGCAACTGACGATAGAACGATACACATTGGCGTCAAGGACATCATAGCGGATAATACTGCCTTATTATTGAATTAAACTTTCTTCCATACATCAGTTAATTTACCTCATTATTGGCTCACTCATTTAAGTAAAAGGAAAATGGATGAACAAATCAATGAGTATAATGAATAGCAGATAACATTAACAAATACTTTTTAACTATTAACAGTTGTGATGGTTACAAAAATAACCCTGTGATAGTCAAAAGTGTATTATTTTGTTGTAAATGTCAAGTTGCAATGTTCAGTACTTAGATTATTTTTTGCAATATACTAGAGATAAAATGCAACATATTACACATCTTCATAGTGAGCATGTTTTACATACCAGATCCACAGGCGTAGGGTGCGAACATTCGCACGAGCGAGGCAGATAACGCTGCAAACACCAGTGCCCATACTATGTAGAACAAGTAACTGATGATGTAAGCACCCGCTCCTTCTCGAGACTCCCCAAATACCTGTGGCCACGTCAGCCACTGCAACACAACACTGTTAGTTCTTATTTATTGTTCCAACCGAAAAACTGAATCTTATGTTTAACCACCAACCTGTGAACAATTGCCATCATCAAACGTGGTTTCATTACTTGACCAACAGCACTGTTCTCTGTTGAACCAGAATGCTTGTGGACATATGCCGAACTTGAGGTCTGTCATCCAGGAAGCACCAATGTCTATAACACCTGCTACAACACCTGTGCAGACTCCCACTAGGAGAACACATACCCACCCTGACCAGGCATCGTGTGCTCCCTAAAAATTATAATCATTCATTTTGAAAATGCACCCTTCTAATTAACATAGACAAGTACTTAAAAAAATCTAAGAAATCATGACAAAAGTGACACTTAATCAGCACTCAAAGTTTAATGACTAAGTATTTGTCATGTAGTGATCTGATAATAGGGTACATTTATTAACCTAAAATTGATATTTTCTAGTAATTGGGTATTTATGACTGTATATGCAGCCAGGACCAACAGCTTAACATGCCTTCTACAGCATGGAGGAGCTTCAGATAATCACTCATCCTATTACCGGACATTGTGAAAATGCTTACCAATCTTATTGCAATCTAAGCACACTTACCACTGCACCATCAAGCTCCTGTTATTCAAAATTATATCTTATTTGCTAATTTGCAGAACAGTGTTGTTATGTATTGAAAACTGAGACACACTTACTTTTATTAGATCCCATATTGAATCTTGTCTCTTTTTTACAATATATCTATGTCGCATACGATCTCTAGCAATGTCTCTTTGCCAATCGATAGTGTGAAAATCATCATACTGGCCAATTCCCGGAATATCATCATCTCCTGTACAATAAACCATTTCTAATAAATACACAACAAATTGTACACTGAATAATATCAGCCATATATTGTAAACCTTTCAATGGAAGCATATAATATAATAAAACACTATATTGCATCGAAAATTTATTGCATTAAACTTTTGAGTAATATCTTTTTATTTTCCTTACCATTCATCCTTTCCTACAACCATATTTAATATAGTTCTATTTATTGCATTTCAATACAATCTATTTGATAATAAGCTCAGTAACATTATATGTTTGAGAGTAAGAACTATAATAATAATATTTTTTTGTTAAGTAACTACAATGCATAAGAAATAAATCTGCCCTGTCTTCCAAAATAAGTTACTCTGTATGTCAGGATTCAGTGCTCTTCAATTGTAATACATTCCAGCTTATGCTATAAAACTATGTCCCTATTTAATGAATGTTACTTAGTAAAATTATTATAAATAACAAATCATATTTTCAAAGTAGAATCTTGAATATCTGCTAAAGAAGTTATAAATGTGGTATTTTGTCGTTTTTGAATTAATTTGGTACAAGGCAATATAAAAAATACATCAACACCCATATTTATTATGAATACATATTACAAAGCTAAATAGAAGCAATGTAACACAATACCATGAACAGTTCAAATCGATGTGAATTTATAGTCACTACCAAGTTCATTCAAAGATGCAAGCATATGTTTCGAATTTTAGAATTAGACCTAAAGAGACATAAAACAATAAAATAATACAACACTTACCTTGCATACCGGAGAATATAACTGCGTCCCCTGTAACAATATTTCACAAATTTATAAAAATTAATGTATTTTAACTAAAACTCATCACTGTTTCAAACGGAGGTTGCACCTATGTTATTATTACGCAGTTATTTCACTGGTGGATGTAAATATACTAACTTCTAACTGTAACGTACTTTAAAAGAGTGTTATTGTAAAATAAATTAAAATAAACTTCAATAATACTGCAACATTTTAATAAAAACAAAGGGAAAATATCGTAATCAATGACGCGAAATCGTAAACGTCAAATGTCATCAAAACCAGTGTTGCCATGACAAGCGTACATAAAATGCCTAACATATTTGTAATAAAAGATAAAAATATCGCCAAACTCAAGCCAAACGCCAAACTACGATGTTCACAAGATGAAAAAGAAATTGTTTGTTATACATAAAAGTGCCAGTACAATGCAAATAACTTTCGAAAACGTAAATAAGTAAGATTATCTCATGAAATAAAAATACTAGGTAGATAAAAGGAAACTTGTTTCTTGGACGAATGACGACATTAAATCACGTGCTTTAATAATTTACGAAATAATTATCTTACTTGTAACAAATAGTTTAGTAAGTTCCCCGAGAATATTTGGTTAGCTGTTGTTAGTAAGAGGATAAATAGTATTAATATAAATTAATTAGTGTGGAGAAATGGATTATCCTTAACTTTCTATTTACTCTTAACACATTAATTTAATACTATATTAATAAATGAATGTTTTAGTCACTGGCATGTTCATTACGTTTTAATAGTTCATAGATAATTAGATTTTTTTATTAATGAGTAGGTATTGATTTATTTACTAATAACTTTTAACGTTGGATATATCGTAAAAGTTTAATAAAAACAATAATTGTTTAAAATATCTTTTACCTACATCGCTGATTAAAGCTTCTTTTTCACTTGTTTCAACTGATAAAGTATCCATGAATACTCCTCACACGTAAGGCGAACTCGACTTCATAATAAAAACTAACGATCGTTAAGTACCTATGTATCTATATAATCAATAATGTTGAAATGATAATAAATACAATACAGTGTACTTATCGTTACAATCAAACATTAATATGAGATGTTATCAGTTGTGAATAATAAATATTTTGGTGTTGCTATTTGTTGAAATTTAGGATTTGGTTACACAAAGTTCAAGAGGGCGCGTACGTACACCAAATATGATCATTATTCAAATGTAATGATTTTATACTATACTCTATTAATTATAGCATTAGGCAGAAGTTAAATAAGGTTCTTTTTATGGTATACTTTGTGACAAAATATCGATAATCATGTTACTCTTAAGACTGACGGCTAATTTGCTACATATTCACTTAAATACCAGGTGCTATACTTAAATGTTGTCATTTAAGCTATCTATTAAAATTTATGAGTATATGACTAATTGAAATGATTTAATAACTATTACAATAAAAAGTGTTTATCGTAAAAAACCTAAAGAAGCAGGGTTGTATAGTCGGCACGATTCTCATGTCACTATAACTCTATCAAATTTAAAACGTTGCCTAACCCCTTCAAACGTTTTGGCAGTACAGATTTTTAATTTTGTCAGACTATTATTTATTCATAATTGTTAAAATCGTAATCTGAGATTGTCATTTGTCATCCATTGTGAATGCTACTGCCTTTCTTGTTGTTTTGCCGTTTTCCGTGATTAAGTTGTCATTGTTTTATTTATGTTTTGTTTTTGTTGTTAAGTTTTGTTAAATATGGACGATGCCTGTGCAGGCCCGAGTGGCCTGTACAGTACAAAAATTACGCTCTAAGCCCCTACCCTCAACCTTTGACTAATTAATTACACTTACAATTAGAATTTATCAAAACAACTGACAGATAGTTTGGGTTTTAGTTCCATGTTGGCTTAGGAGTAAAAGATGAATTTATTAAATGCTGGCCTCATCTCAACCCCGAGGTATCGTAAAAAATGGAATAGTGCCCAGCTCTTTCAGACTACCTAACATTCAAAGTTTCAACAAAACTAATAATATTTTTTAAATTCATCTTGAAAATAAAATGTTCTGCACTGCTGCATCTATGACTCTCTTTTTTCCAATGTTATAATGAATGGAGTATAAGAAATTATATCGAAATAAGCTGTGTTCAAATATGAAAACTTTAGTATAAGGATATTTGAGCGTGTGACGTAGTTTGGACGTAACGCCGTCATCTATACTAATATTATCGAGAGGAAAACTTTGTTTGTATGTTTGTTTGTTTAATTGTAATGAATAGGCTCAAAAACTACTGAACCGATTTTAAAAATTCTTTCACGATTCGAAAGCTACATTATCCACGAGTAACAGAGGCTATATTTTATTTTAAAAAAAAATAGGGTTCTGTAAGATATTTGATATTCGACCTGATCCCAGAAATGAGGATTCTAGAGCTACATTAACACGCCACTACACCGAAGATCTGCCAGAAGTCAGCATTGGCGAAATCGAGATCGCTCTGAGACGGCTTAAAAGTGGAAAAGCCCCTGGAGAGGATGGCATTACAACTGACTATTAAAAGCATGAGGTAAACCGGTACTAAAGGAGCTCCAAAAGCTTTTTAATGCTGTCCTCTTCGAAGGGAGAACTCCGCAGGCGTGGAGTAGGAGTGTAGTCGTCCTGTTCTTCAAAAAGGGAGACAAAACCCTGCTGAAGAACTATCTACCCATTTCCCTTCTAAGCCACGTCTATAAGCTGTTTTCTAGAGTAGTCACGAACCATCTTGTGCAAAGACTTGACGAATTCCAACCACCGGAGCAGGCTGGGTTTCGGAGTGGATACGTTACCATAGACCACATCCACACAGTGCGGCAGATTATACAGAAGACTGAAGAGTATAATCAGCCCCTGTGTCTAGCATTTGTGGACTATGAGAAGGCTTTTGACTCGATTGAGATCTGGTCCGTTCTGGAGTCCCTGCAGCGATGCCAAGTCGATTGGCGATACATCCAAGTGATAAGATGTATTTATGAGGCCGCCACCATGACCGTCCAAGTACAGAATCAGCAGACAAGTCCTATACCGTTGCATCGAGGAGTGAGACAAGGAGACGTTATGTCTCCGAAATTGTTTTCTAATGCAATGGAGGATATGTTTAAGACGCTAAACTGGAAAGGATGTGGCATCAACATCAATGGCGAGTACATCTCTCACTTGAGATTTGCTGACGACATCGTCATCATGGCAGAAAATCTGCAGGACCTACAACAGATGCTGAATGACCTGGCTGACTCTTCTATGCGCATCGGCCTACGGATGAACTTGGATAAAACCAAGGTCATGTTCAACGAACACGTACTACCGGAACCGATTGCAGTATGCGGTGCCGTTCTCGGAATTGTTCCAAAATATGTATACCTCGGGCAAACATTGCAGTTAGGTAGAAACAACTTCGAGAGCGAGGTAAATGGAAGAGTTCGGCTAGGTTGGGCAGCGTTTGGGAAACTACGTCAGGTCTTTACATCGTCGATCCCGCAGTGCCTAAAGACAAAAGTCTTTAATCAGTGCGTCCTACCCGTTATGACATACGGAGCCGAAACGTGGACACTGACGGCACGGCTGGTCCACAAGTTGAAGGTCGCTCAGCGCGCTATGGAAAGGGCTATGCTCGGCGTTTCTCTGCGGGATCGAATCAAAAATGAGGTGATCCGGCAGAGAACCAAGGTTATCGACATAGCCCACCGGATTAGCAAGCTGAAGTGGCAGTGGGCTGGCCATATTAGCCGCAGAACCGATAACCGTTGGGGTAAACGAGTTCTTGAGTGGAGACCGCGTCTCGGCAAACGTAGTGTAGGACGTCCTCAGGCGCGGTGGAGCGATGATTTGCGCAAGATGGCTGGCAGGAGCTGGATGCGAACAGCCGAAAATCGAAGTAGATGGCGTGCAATTGGGGAGGCCTATGTCCAGCAGTGGACGAATGTGGGCTGATGATGAAGATATTTGGGTTTTTCGGACACAAGGTGTAAAAAATCAACCAGAAAAGTTACTTATTTTGCGTACGCTGCCTAAACTATAATAGATAGAACCATCACCAGCCCTTTTACGTCCCCACTGCAGGGGCTCAGGCCTTCCTTATGGATGGTTAAGGAGGATGGGCCACGACCCTCCACGCCGGCCCAATGCGGATTGGAGGGTATTAACGACTGCAAATGCAGCCGGGACCACCGGCTTAACGTGCCTTCCGAAGCACGGAGTAGCTCGAGATAATAATTTTTTGGTCACCCATCCCGTGACCGACCCTTGCGAAAGTTGCTTAACGACTACGATCGCGGGCCGCGGAGCTTATCCACTATGCCACCGAGCTATAGATAGAACCATAAAATGTTCTAATTAATTGTAGATCTTATAAATATCTACAAAAAAGTCCGCGGCACACTATACCTATCTACGTCGAGTGAGGCACAACAACATTTATTTTATTTTAAAATCTTGTTTTTTTTTACTACATTTAAACGCGTTTATTTTACTCATGCTAGTAATCCTTATCAAAATAAACTATTTCATCACTATCTACAGTTTATAATATTTGGTCTTTGAATGATTTAAAATGGACATTTGGTTTTGTGCGGGAGGGGAGTTTATATCTATGAGTAACGTACCAGCGGACCACGCGGGCAAAGCCGCTGGCGAAAAGCTAGTATTGTATATAGATGTTATTTATATATATATACATATATTGTTGAAATATAAATAATTGACATTATTCTATGTTGTTAGCGTTAAGGATGTCACTGGATGCATGGAGGATGGATATTTGGATGAATTATTAATTATCTAATTAAATTCAGATAGCGAAGAGACTAGTGTTAGTAACAAATATTATGGAGATGACAAGGATTTTAATTTAAATAAATTTTTAAGCGTTGATATAGCAGAAGATAATAGTAAAACTATTTGAAAATTTTCTTGTTTACAAAGATCAGCTTGATGATTTAATACCTAACTCCACGATCAAAGATTTTTTCGATGTTCGATTTCGTCAATGTCATCCAAATGCCAAAAAATCCTTGTAGGACTTGTACAACTAGAGTAAGAGCCAACGAACGCCAGTCCTTCCGTCATTTTATAAAAGATCAAAATTTGTCAGTACATGCTCCCAATACTGCCATCATGAAGTTCATGAATAAATACTAGTCTATTTATGTCAATTCATAAAGCTTGATTTTTTTATATTTCCTTTAGAATATTGTAATAAATTGTTATTCATTGCCAGATACCATGGTGGCAACCCCTTTTCAGACACCCTTAATGCTCATCCAAATAATTGCCATTGTACTTACGTTATAGTATAATAACTGATTTTATGTGAGTCGTGGGGCAATCATTGAATTAGACCGGTCGAGATCTGCCCAGGCATATCACGATATGCCGCCATTTCTTGATTTAGCCATCTATCATCCGCCATATCGTTCAATACTTAACCTTTTACGTTTTGCTCGACCTTGCTCTACTCAATCCAATTTTTAGGGTGACCAAGGTACTATGTAAGCAGAGATGGGCAACAATCGCATAAAAAAACAAAACCCGTAGTCATAATACATTGTTTATATACAATAAACAAATGTTGCTTGTGTAACAACTTAATGTCTTATGCTAATTTACAACCCGGTTACAAGTAAATGGTTTTCTAAAATTGTGCGTTGAATTTGCGTGACTCACAAAAAACTTCCTGGCCATGTCAAATGGCGGCAAATCGTGATATGCCCTGGCAGATCTTGAATGGCTCAATTCAACGATTGGCCCACAACAGCTATATAACTTGGCTAATGATTAGACGATGTTTCCTCGTCAGCCAGACCATTATGATAGTTCCAACTCTTACCAGACAAGCCCTTATGTATTATCATTATCAGGTATTAACATTAATTTTCGGCACTCATCCTGACATTACAAAAATTGCTAAGAACATTATCGCATACCTAGCGCGCTATAATATAATAATAATAGTTTATTAATAATTACCCTTTATCTAATATAATACGGAAACAAATGAGATTATTTTAGCTG